CCATATATATTATATAAAATAATGAGAAATTAAATTTGACTTCGGTTGGACCAAATTCACTCAAAATCAAGTGAAAAAAGGTCAATTTTTCTTTTACAGATTTGTTGTAGTGTATTTACAGAGTTGTTGTAATGCATTTATAGATTTGCAACAATCCCATTTTGTACAGTTTGTTTACTTTCTGATTCAACTGCCTGTTGTTTGAACTGTGTTTGTTGGATGTAAATATGATAAGATTCTTAGCTTTCTTTGATACCAAACATGTCCAGGTTCAATTAACAGAAGTTAAAAGATATAGAAAACTGGAAATGGAGGTTAGCCCCCAGTACCGAGGGCATGGGGCTCAAGAACTTAAAGTATTTAGTGCAAGAAGGAGCTTTTATTTTGAAGGTTTCAAAAGTCAAATTGGGTTCAAATAAGTATCTGATGTTGTATTCTTCAGGTTGGCTGCATAAAGAGATGAAAAACAGCACCAAAGCGTCGCTGAAGGTGAAAAAGCGCTGGTTTCTGCTCACCCACAACTCCCTGGACTACTACAAGAGCTCGGAGCGTAACGCCTTAAAGCTGGGGACGCTGGTGCTGAACAGACTCTGCTCGGTGGTGCAGCCGGACGAAAAGGTCTTCAAAGAGACGGGTAAGATCCGGAACCCTCCTGAGGGGGATTTCCGACCCTCCAGCCGTGTTGTTTCACTCCTCGTGTGGCGTTGCAGGATACTGGAACGTGATCGTGTACGGCCGTAAACACTCGTACCGGCTCTACTGCAAGCTGCTGAACGAAGCCACGCGTTGGGCCAACTCCATCCAGAACGTCATCGACTCCAAAGCTCCCCTCGACACGCCCACCCAGCAGCTCATCCAGGACATCAGGGTAGGAAGCTTCTAGAAAAAGAAAAGAAYCGGTCACGTTTATGTCAGAAGCAAACTAAAGAGTGGTTTCTGTGCTGTCGGCAGGAAAACTGCCTGAACGGTGAGGTGGTGGAGCAGATCTACAAGAGAAACCCCATCCTGCGCTACAGCCACCACCCGCTGCATTCACCGCTGCTGCCYCTGCCCTACGGAGACATCCACCTCAGTGGTGAGACATCTTAGTTAAAATGGTTTGATTATCATCTTTTAGGTGAGTAAAACCTCGAGGCCTTTCTTTCCTCAGCTTCAAAGACCAGGAGCTACACCACTCTGCAGGATGAAGCCCTCAAGGTCTTCAGCTCCCTGCAGCACCTGGACGGAGTGGCTGACCCGGTTCCCATCATCCAGGGCATCCTGCAGACGGGTCAGGAGCTCAAAGCGCTGCGCGACGAGCTCTACTGCCAGCTGATCAAACAAACCACACGGCCGCCTCAGCCCGGCGCTCCTGGGAACCTCTGCAACTGGAAGATCCTGGCCTGCATGTCCTGCACCTTCYTCCCCTCGAGGGGCATACTCCGATACCTCAAGTTCCACCTGAAGAGGTGAGCAGCAGACGGATTCTTMGCCTCGTTCGACTTAGAAACCCTCTGAAAGGATGTGACACGGTGTAAACTCTCTGCAGGACTCGGGAACTCTTTCCCGGCTCTGAGATGGATCGTTACGCCGCRTTCGCRCTCGACTCTTTGAAGAAGACCCGGGCCAGGGAGAACGTGCCGTCGCAGGAGGAAATCCGCTCCATCGTGGCCCGACAGGAGATGAGCACCACGGTTCACTGCCACGGAGGAGGCTCCTGCAAAATCACCATCAACTCCCACACCACTGCAGGAGAGGTACAGCAATCAGACCATGCAGCTTTGCTTGTAGATGAGAGGCACAAAACAGGACTTTCCCCTGATATGTCTTARCCTGTGGCAGGTGGTGGAGAAGCTGATCCGCGGTCTGGCCATGGAGGACAGCAGAAACATGTTCGCTCTGTTCGAACACAACCACAGCACAGAAAAAGCCATCGAAAGTCGCACGGTGGTGGCCGATGTGCTCGCCAAGTTCGAAAGGTAACCATAGCTCCTGTTTGGAAAAGGGTTTTTGTTTTTTGTTTCTACCACTAACGCTCCTCATGTGCACTGCAGACTGTCGGCGAGTCCAGACGAAACCAACACTGCCTGGAAGTTATACTTCAAACTCTACTGCTTCCTGGACACGGACAGTGTTCCTAAAGACAGCGTGGAGTTCGCCTTCATGTTCGAACAGGTAAAAAAACTGATTGAAGGGCAACAATGTAGAGGGGTGGATTTTAAAAGTTTCCTACAGTAGCTGTGTTTCCATTGCAAATGTGCACAAAACTTTGTCGATATTCTGTTAATGTCAAAAAACACAGTTTTGCAACTGTGGTGTTTCTATTAAGTAAGAAATGCTATTAAAGTCACGTGAATACGTTTGTTCTCGCYATAAGTCATTACAAACATTTAATGGATGTAAACACATAGCATGTTGCTACCATGACACTAGCGCTCATCATCAGAGGAGACGTCGGCGTCTTATCGAGGCTTTCAAGWGACGAGCCCCTAATACTTGGGAGCGGCTACGTATGCTGTGTTTTTGGGAAAATATAGTTGGTGAGTTTATTACGTTCTTTTACTATTTCTGTGATATTACTACTACGTCTACTTCCAGTTTTCTTCTGCGTCGTCTTTTTCACCAGTAGAAACAGCCGGTTGTTGATCACGTGACTCCCGCGATGCGAAAAAAGTGTTTCCATTGCAGTTTTGTATAATACACCAATTTCAATACGGCTGAAAAACCACCTCTTCCTAGCGCAAAAACATTTTGTTGAAAAACGTAATTTTTTTAATTGATTTTATTGATTGTTTCCGTCGAGCAAATGCATTTTTGTAATTCTAATTTGCGCATTTTCATGGTCAATGGAAACGCAGTTAGTGTCTCATCTGTTGACTGTATTTGAAGTTGTTCTGTTAAAGCAGGGGGGTCAAACTCATTTTTCACCAAGGGCCACATGAGGGTAATGGTGGCCCTCAAAGGGCCAGCTGTAATTTTTGTTTCATGTTTAACTGTGACTGAACGCAAAATGTCAGGTTCCTTGTCTCGTTGCTACGGCTGAGCCCCGCTAACAACTGAGCTCTACCTGGTATTTCCTGCATAGAAACAGTGTTTGAACACGCCCTTTTATAAAGACTGAAAAATACTGTTTACGACTGACTAAACGTGACATAAATAAAACAGAAATATGATCAATTAATTAAAAATTAAAGTAAAAGAGTTTTGCTCAATGAGTTACATAAGTAGCAGACATCATGAATTCTAAACATTCCCACTTTCTGACAGGGAATTCCCACTAGAGGGGCATTCCAGTTTAAATTTACAACTTGTAAGTGTGAAGTTCCCACTTCAAAGATTGTGCACGGCCCGGCTACTTTTGAACGCTGTGCAGCTCCACCTGGTGGTGGGATGTTGTAATTTGGCAGGTGAAATAATCCACATGCATTATGGGAGATGTAGTATATTGTCGATGCTGATTTTAAAGCATCATACGCTTGTTTAAAAGACATTTAAATCTGTTGATGTTCTTGGAGGCCACATAAAATACTGCGGAGGGCCACATTTGGCCCGCAGGCCTTGAGTTTGARACGRGTTGAAGTAACCTTGTACCTAAAGAAAGAATTGTGTGTTTTCACCTTTTTAGGCTCACGAGGCGGTGATTCGAGGTCACTATCCTGCCCCCGAGGAGACGCTTCAGTTTCTGGCCGCCCTGAGGCTTCAGTACCTCCTGAGTGACCAGAACTCCCAGACCAGCATCCCGGAGATGTCCCAGGTGTTCCCCATGGCTCGGCTCCGGGCCCGAGTGCAGAACTCGGCCAAGACCTTCACCCCGTGCGGCGGCTCGGCGGCCGACCGCTCGGGAACGTTCGAGAGGAAACGCTCGAGCTTCCTGGAGGGAACGCTGAGGCGCAGCTTCAGGAGCGGCTCGCTGAGTCGGCAGAAACTGGAGGAGGAGAACAGCCTGGAGGTGTGGATGAGGGAGGAGGCGGCGGCYGTGAGGACCAGCGTGATGGAGAAGTGGAGGAAGTTCCAGGGGATGAACCAGGAGCAGGCCATGGTGAAATACATGGCTCTGGTGAAGGAGTGGCAGGGATACGGATCCACACTCTTTAATGTGGAGGTGAGGACCGAGCAGAYACACGAGTCGACACTCTGTGAGCAGCTTCCACCATCATGACGCTAACTTCCTGTCATTTCAGAGTCGGGACGGAGCGTTCCCCTCAGAGCTGTGGTTGGGAGTGAGCAGGGAGTCCATCTCAGTGTACAAACGAGGGGAGCCGTGGCCTCTGGAGGTTTTCCCCTACGAGCAGATCCTCTCCTTTGGAGCTCCAACACCCAACGCCTACAAGATCACCGTGGAAGGCCGAGAACTGCTCTTCGAAACACACATGGTCAGTTCTGCATCATGAATGTATCACATGTTACGTTCTTGAAAAGCTGCAGCTTCACGGCTGCTCCTCGTCTCGTCTGCAGGTCATGGACATCGCCAAGCTCATGAAGGCGTACATCAGCATGATCGTGAAGAAGCGCTACAGCAACTGTCAGTCTGTTAGCAGCCACGGGAGCCAGTGCAGCGCCTGGTGAGCCCCGCCCCTTAACCTTCAGCCTCGAGCCRGACTGCAGCTGGATCCTCAGCGCTCTGGGAGAATAAACTAAAAAAATAAAGTCGCAGTGGCTGAGAGCGTCGGTTAGTCACTGTGCTCCTGATCTTCATTCCAAACCTTCACTCCGCTCTCCTCTAAGTGRCCTGCCGTGGTCAGAGACACACTGTCAGCACGTCCAGCTGCACTCCAGTCCAACACAGAAGTTCCTGAACACTAACGTTTTATTTAAAAACAAAATAGATGCAACACTTTATTTATAAGTAGCAGTTTGAGCTTGTCGTCGTGAGAAGTTTTGATAAAAACTGTTTATGTGCTGAGTCATGTTACGGACCACTGTGAAAGAGCTGGAGATGAGCAGAGAAGGTGGAAACGTGACACGGCTGCACTGAGACCAAAGAAAAATGGACCACTTAGAATGATGCTTTTTGAAGCTGAGTGTGGTCCCAACCTGTTCTGTTTAAAGCAACTAATCAGACATGAGTTAAAACTCCAACGTTAAATATGATCAAGTTAAAGGCGCCTCTAATCAGGAAACAAAGGATAAAATAATTGTTTTTGTGTGTTTCTCTTACCAAAGAGTTGCTGTGAGCTGAAGGTTTTCCTCCCTGATGCTCAGTTTCAGGCAGAACAGTGAATGTTTAATGATTTGTGAGGAAAAGTTTATAAAGAGCTTGAATGTAAAAAAGCATAAAGGACTGAAAATTTAAAAAATAAGGCTGGAAGCAGTTTGGCTCTGCTGGGAGAGATTCATTTTCTGTAAATACGCAGCTTTTCTACTCAAGTGGTTTCCTGATATGAAGTGTTTAAAGTAAAACAGGATGACCTGTTTGATCCACTCTCAGCAGGACCTAAAAGCYCTCCAACATTTCTTTACCTGCTGATGTTTTACACTCTGAGTCCATTTTATTAGATTCACCCTGCTGGAATCACCTCTTATCCCTTTAATAGATTCAACCAGGTGGTTTTAGTTCACGCTGACAGGTTAGCTCTGCTGTTCCTCCACATTCCAAACACACTGAGTGGACTGAGGTTTGGATTTAATGAAGTGGTCGATGAGTAAAGTCCAGCTGTGCAAGTCGTTCCCAGCAGCTGAATCTAAACTGTTCAGAACATTCAAACTGAACGGATCCGTCTGGAACGTGTTCAGCGGTGAATGATTTGCTCAGCCAGGACTGTCGGCGGTGTAACGTCCCCACAGCGTTCACTGGAGCTCCGCTGGCGGCAGGTCCTTCCAAAGATGTGTGCAGGTTAAGCCCCGCCCCCCGCAGTGCCTTCCTGTGTATATTCTGTACACTTGTTTTCTTTTACCTGTGCGGATCTTTTTGACGTCATGTGCAATGTTCTATAAATGTATTATCTAATCATGAGGCTGTACATTTCATACTGCAAGTCTTCACCTTTTGGATAATCAGAATATATTTCTTGTATCGTTTTTGTATCTTTTTAAATTTTGCATTACGTGTTGTGTTGATTTGATAAATCTGATAATAAAAGGTTAAAAATTTGACACTGCTGTTTTATAATTATTTGTAATAACAGGACATCAGTGGTTTCTGTTTGAGACGCAGCTCATCCTGCCTTAAAGATCACAGCATGGAGCTAATTAATTATATTTATTAAATAATTACATATTAGATACACTAACCTCCACAACCTGGTTGACTGAACATTCATATAAAGTAAATTTTGTATAAAGTGCAATATCATTTATTAAAAGTACACATTTTCTAGAAACTTTGAAAGGTTACAGTGAAGAAACTTATTAGTCATGTTAGATACTGATTATAAAAGCACTAGTTTCCTTTTAAAGTATTGACTTTTATAATCTATTGTTTGACTATTATGTCTTGATTAAAATAGTTTAGATACATGCCCGAAACACCATCACAACACAAAAAACCGTTAATCAAACATAAGTACAGGTTTTTTGAGTGTCTGCAATTCAGCCGTAAGCCAGTAGTGGGCGCACCAGGCACTGAAGAACATGTATAACTACACATGGGTTTTTACGATGTAAAAACAAGTGTGCATTGCCATGCAGCATGCCTTTGCCTGCAGCAGTGGACTTGCAGAATGAACTGTGACCAAGTTCAAATGTGTTTTCTATATCAATTTGTGCRTGTCAAGTCAGCAGGTGTTTGTAATTATAGTAATTGTGTGACAATATGAAGTTTGCAGTGATTTTTTGTTAAAGTTGCTGTAGCTGGGTTTTGAACCCAGATCTCCCACATGAAAGCCCATAGAGTTAACCATGAGACACTGCCAAGGGTTGGCTTGTATTTGTGCAGAAAGAGGCCACATTGCCAATGCAATTGTTGACGCATAACTGCATAATATTACAACAATAGAGTAATATTAGGACAAGATTTTAGTAAAACATCAAAATACAATCATATTAGAATTGTAATCACTGAACTACTGAGTTTAAATATTATTAAACTATGGTTCAGTACTGAGTATATACAGCATGGGGCAGTATTGGACCAATACAAGGCTCCATTGACTGCCATTATATGATTTTAAACATTAATATTTCAAAAAGTATAAGTTGTAAAGGCACCAAAAGGCATAGCCATCATTTGGCACTGGAGCTTTACAGATATAAATTACAATGGCAGCTCTAGGACAAAGTATGCAGGAGGAGAAGAGTGCCAAAGTGGCGATGACTTGGATGGGAAACGAATCACAATAGTGTGCATTGCATTGACAATGCACACTGAATATGCCAGAACTTCTGGTTTCTGGTCATCGTTGGTTGCCTGTCTGCACAGACAGATTAAACCGGRGTTCTCTCCAGTCACTGGTGTTGTATGGTTTCATTCTCATCACATTTATTCTATTCAACATTTATGTGGTTTCATCTCGATTTCAGTTAATGAACACTAAATTTTCTTACAACAGAGCCCGACTCTGTCAAATGTTTTTCGACCCTTCAGTATATTTTGTTTTAGGTTTTAAATTCTTGTTTATTCAATTTTTTTCATTCATAAAAACAAAAAAATCAATATACAGTAAAATAAAAATAAAAAGTAAATCATGCCGTGAATAAAAATGGTGGAGAGTAAAGAAAAAAAATCATATCTGACCCTTATTGAAAAAAAAACTTCAGCTAAAGCTTCAGTTATCTCCAAATTTACAAAAAATAAAACAGATCTTTGTTTTATTTTCACTAAATACTACAAACAGTTTATTTTCCCAATAATTTTGACCTAATTGTCTTTTTAAACTAATAATTTTAGAGGTTTTTATCATGTAGCAACACTATTAACCTGAACAATTGATTATATTTTTATATTTAAACTCATCTTCTGTTTAACTTTAATCAAGCAGAGTTTTTGAAGTGGGTTTGTGTGGAAAAGCAATAAATTGTTCACGTCTTACCTGGACATCATGGCGYTGCAGGGATGTCCTCACAACAAGGTTGCGGGTTTGAAACTCAGCTGGGGTCCAGTTCTTTTCTCCAGGTTTGTCTTGTAAATCTTGAAAAACAAACCAACATGCATGAATGATGAACTGGTTCCAGGTGTGGAGGGAACCAGTTCCATACGACCCTGAAGAGAAGGATGAACACAGCGCTCTGATACAAATCTGTTTTATATGTTACAACCATGGAAAAGAAKCAGAGACAGCCAACAGCAGCGTCACACTGAATCATCTCTGTGCTGCACAACGACACACTGATCCTCCGAAGGCACCYAAACACAAAAAGACAAAAGGCAGTCGTGCAGCACCACACAACCCAAACACAGCTGCACAAAAACAACAAAAACAGTCTCTGCCAGCATCACAACCACAAACTGAGATTATCAGATTATAAATCCAGTTTGTGCTCATCTGTGTCCATCTCTGGAGAACCTTTTCAGATTGAAGATTTGAATGAAGCTGAATCACTTTTATAAAGATCTTAGTTGTTTGTTCTTCAGAACTAACTCCTCCATGAGCTGCATGTTACTGAGCTCAGTGACAATCAGCATTATTTAAATGTCTTCAGTGGAAGAGGCGTTTGTGTTAGTTTAGCATTTTCCCCTCTTTTTTTTGTACTTTGGATAAATATAAATCCATCAAATCCTTTAACAAATAAACTCCCACAAAGAAAAACAGCGTTTTGAACACGAGCCTATAACGATGTGCTTGTTTCTGAATCAACCCTGCAACCTTCACGCTTCTTGTGCATTTTAAATCTGCAGCTTTACAAGGCCTGCACCTGAATGTGCAGAAGAACACTTTAACATTAACTTTTAACAAGTTTTGTAGCAATTTCTTGAATAAGTGCAGGAAATCTTTGCAGGTTCAGTTTAGTGTTTAAAACAAAGTTTGCTGCTTATTGAAATTAATCATGTGCTCCAATAGGATTAAATTATTAATAAAAATGCTTCAAAATAATTCAAACTGATTGTAGGCGGGACTACAAACTTTTGCGAGGCGTGGCTACTTTGCTAAAACTAAACAAGCCAAAAGTTCAGGGCGTTAAAGCAAAATGCTTTAGGGGTTTAATCGATTAAAAACTACTTTTAATAACATTTATCCTTTAAACTGTGAGTAAGGCTACTGCATGCAAACTAAACTATTAAAACTAGTCCATATTTGAGTTCTGGRCTCAGTTCACAGTGCTGAAAGTCTGAGTAGACCCTGACAACTTCTTCCTTTTATCTTAAATAAAATTTCTTGGCACTAAAGATAGTAAACATCCTAAAACCTTCCTTTCTTCTTGTTTTTGTCTTTAATGTGAGAATTAAATCCTCATGGTTTAACTTTAGAAGCAGCTCTCCTGCTGACAACAAGGAGTTAAAGCCACTTCAGTTTTAACTCTAACAACGCAGCATTTAGGAGCTGTGGTAGCATCTATTTGACTTTTTAAAACATTTTAAAWATATAAACATAATGCAAAAACATGAAAAGTAACAATGTGAGCAGTAAGTATCACCGTAAACTCCAACAGTGGAAAACAAGCAGATTTGCCTCCATCTTTAGTGCTGCAGGATGGTCTGAAAACAGAAACTAAAAAGACAGATTTAAGATCGAGGACCGGCCTCACTGTCAACAAACTCATTTGGAAAACTTTTGGCAACCAGAAAAGCAGAAAACCTGTAAATGCATAAAACTCAGGTCGACACCAAGTCTTTGTTTTGTTCCTGGTTGGTGCTCACACTGACGTCACACGGATCACAACCTCTCCTGAGTCTGCGTCCTGGCTGAGGGGGTTTCGGGGCACCAGCCCGGGGCAGAAAGGTGCCAGACAGAGGCAGGTCCAGGGCCGGGGCCCCAGCTGGGTGGGGTGCAGGGGCCCGCTGGGCCCGAAGGTGGCCAGAGGCAACCAGAGCGTCCTGGGGCCCAGAGAGGAGCGGCCGGTGCTCGACTCCTCCATGTCCTTGGTCTTATCGTAACTCTGAACATCCCAGTGCAGATTGACAGCCCGCCAGCGCATGAAGACGTTGTACACTGCTGCCCCCTCGTGGACGATCAGGCCTGTTCCAACCACAAGGAGAAAAGTTTTGACAATATTAAATACACTGAAATATATGACGTATCGTTTAAGCTGCAGTACGCAAACACATTTCTATGATTCTTAACTTCATTTGGTAAAAAAAAAAAAGGCTGAAAAAACAGAAAAGAGTTCAAATTATAGCAGCAATAAACTCACATAAACATTAAAGATGCAGCTTCCAGTTGCAGTTAGTCACTAAAATTATCTTAATGAGCAAAAACAAACAAAAAAATCTTTGAAAGTGAACAAATGTTTGTTCAGAATAAATAAGTTTCAAGCGTTTTGATTTAAAATAAGTAAACTTTATTTATATAGCACCTTTCACAGACAGAAACATCACTAAGTGCTTAACAAAGAGCAAAATAACTAAAAACAACAAAAACAATGCATAAATATAATAAACAAAAATTAAAAAACAGTAAACAAAGATTACCTAAAAGCCTGTCTGAATAACAATATCATAAGATATTGCTTTAAAGAGATAAAAGGC